ATTCTTTTGCTGTTGTACTTTTAAATTCTCTATTGCTGGATCATATGGTAAGAGTATGTTAGTTTTGTAAGAAACTGCCAAGCTGTCTTCCAAAGTAGCTGTACTATTTTGCATTCCCACCAGCAATGAACAAGAGTTCCTGTTGTTCCCCATCCTTGCTGTGTGTAGAGGCATCTCATTGTTTTAATCTATAATTCCCTAATGACATATAATTTTGAGCATTTTTTTGTATGCTAATTGGCCATCTGTATTTCTTCTTTGGTGAGGTGTCTTTTCAGATCCTTTGCCCATTTTTTAATTGAGGTTTTCATCTTCTTATTGTTGAGTTTTAGGAGTTCCTCGTACTTTTTGGATACTAGTCTAGTCTTCTATCAGATATGTGTTTTGCAAAGATATTTTCCATCTGAGGCTTCTCTTTTCATTCTCTTAGCTGTGTCCTTTGCAGAGCATTAATTTTAATGAAATCTATATTATCATATTTTTCTTTCATGGTTCATGCTTTTGGCATTGTATCTAAAAAGTCATCATCAAACCCAAAGTCACCTAGATTTCCTCCTATGTCATCTTCTAGGAGTTCTATAGTTTTGCATTTTGCATTTAGGTCCATTATCAATTTTCAGTTAATTTTTGTAAAAAATGTAAGGTCTGTGTCTAGATTCATCTTTTTAAGAATTTTGCCTGTGGATGTCCAGTTGTTCCAACGCTATTTGTTGAAGACTATGCCTTCTCCATTGAATTGCCTTTGATCCTTTGTCACAGATAAGTTGCCTATATTTATGTGGGGTTATTTCCAGGCTCTCTCTTCTGTTCCATTGATCTATTTATCTATTCTTTCACCAATATCACACTGTCTTAATTATTGTAGCTTAATACAATAATCTTGAAGTTGGGTAGTGTCAATCCACCAAGTTTGTTCTTCTCCTTCAATACTGTATTGGTTATATTATGTCTTTTGCCTTTCCATATAAAATTTAGAATTGATTTGTCCATATCCACAAAATAAGTTGCAGGAATTTTCATTGGGATTGCATTGAATCTAAAGATCAAGTTGGGAAGAATGGACATCGTGACAGCATTGAGTCTTCCTGCCCAGGTACATAAAATATCTCTCCTTTTATTTAGATCTGCTTTTATTTCTTTCATCACAGTGTTGTACTTTTCCTCATGTAGATTTTTACATATTTTGTTAGATTTATACCTAATTATTTCAATTTTGGGGGGGAGGGCTAAGTAAAAGGCATTGTATTTTTAATTTCAAACTCTAATTTTTCATTGCTGGTATATACGAAAGCAATTGACTTTTGTATGTTAACATTGTATCCTCCAATGTTTTTATAATTGCTTATTAGTTCCAGGAGTCTTTTTGTTGATTGGTTGGGATATTTCATATAGACTATCATGTTGTCTGAACAAAGACAGGTTTTTTTCCTTCTCAATTTTTATACCCTTTCTTTTCTTTTCTCGTTGTATTAGCTAGGATTTCCAATATGATGTTGAATAGGAATGGTGAAGTGCCATCTTTGCCTTGTTCCTGATCTTAGCAAGAAAGCATCTCGCTTCTCACCAATAAGAATGATGTTAGCTGTAGGTTTATTGTAGATGTTCTTTATCAAGCTGAGAAAGTTCCCCTCTATTCCTAATATGCCAAAGTTTTTTATCGTGAATGGATGTTGGATTTTGTTAAATGCTTTTTCTGTATCTGTTGATGTGATCATATGATTTTTCTTCTTTAGCCTATTGATGTAATGTGATAGTGGCCTTGCCTACCTGGAATGAATCCCACTTGGTCATGGTGCATAATCCTTTTAATTTTTTTGTTGGATTTGATTTGCTAATATTTTGTTGAGAATTTTTGCGTCATGTGCCTAAGAGATATTGGTCTGTAGTTTTCCTTTCTTGTAATGTCTCTGTCTGGTTTTGTTATTAGGGTACTGCTGACATCACAGAATGTGTTAGGAAGTATTCCCTTTGCTTTTCTTTCCTGGAAGAGATTGAATTAGTGTAATTTCTTCCTTTAATGTTTGGTAGAATTCCCCAGTGAACTCATATGGGCCTGGCTCTTTCTGGTTTGAAAGGTTAATTATGGATTCAATTTCCTTAATAGATATTGGCCTATTCAGATTGTCTGTTTTAACTTGTGTGAGTTTTGGCAAGTTGTAGCTTTCAAGGAGTTGATCCATTTCATATAGGTTATCAAATTTGTGGGCATAGAGTTCTTCGTAATATTTGTTTATTTTCCTTTTAGTGTCCATGGAATCAGTAGTAATGGCACCTCTTTCATTTCTGATATTAGTCATTTGTGTCTTCTCTCTTTTTTTCTCAGTTAGCCTAGCCAGAAAGCTTCTTGATTTTATTGATCTTTTCAGACAACCAGCTTTTGCTTTCTTTGATTTTTCCCTTTTAATTTCCTGTTTTCAATTTCTGTGAGTTCTGTTCTAATGTTTTATTATTTCTTTTCTTCTGCTTACTTTGGATTTAATTTGTTTTTCTTTTCCTAGTTTCTTAAGGTGAAAGCTTAGATTATTGATTTCATATCTTTCTAATATATGCATTCAATGCTATAAATTTTCCTCTAAGCACTATTTTTGCTGCATCTCACAAATTTTGATAAGTTGTATTTTCATTTTTGTTTAGTTAAAAATATTTTTAAATTTCTCTTGAGACTTCTTATTTGACCCATTTGTTATTTAGAAATGTGTTGTTTAATTTCCAGGTTTTGGTGCTTTCCAACTATCCTTCTGTAACTGATTTCTATTTTAATTCCATTGGGGTCTGAGACTATACTTTGTATGATTTCTATTCCTTTGCATTTGTTAAGGTGTATTTTATTGCCCAGCACATGTTCTATCTTGGTAAATGTTCAGTGTAAGTAGGACAAGACTGTACATTCTGCTATTGTTGGATGAAGTGTTCTATAAATGTTAATTAGATCGAGTTGATTGATGAAGCTGTTCAGTTTAATTATGGCTTTATTGGTTTTCTGTCTGTTGAATCTGTCAATTCCTGATAGAGGGGTGTTGATGTTTCTAACTATAATAATGGATTCATCTAGTTCTCCTTGCAGGTCTATAAGTTTTTACCTTACATATTTTGATGCTCTGTTGTTAGATATATACATATTAGGGATTATTATGTCTTCTTAGGGAATTGACCACTTTATCATCACGTAAGTCTTCTTTTTTTCCTTGATAATTTTCCTTGCTCTGAATTCAGCTTTGTCTGAAGTTAATATAGCTGCTCAATTTTCATTTGATTAGCATTAGGTAATATGCTATATCTTTTTTCATTTTCATTTGATTAGTGTTAGTTAATATGTTATATCTTTTTTCATTCCTTTGCTTTTAACCTATGTGTCTTTATATTCAAAGTAGGTTTTTTGTAGATGACATAATAGCCAGGTCTTATTTTTTAATCCACTCTGACAATCTCTGCCTTTTAATTAGTATATTTAGACCATTGACATTTAAAGTGATTATTGATATAGTTTGATTGATATCTACCATATTTGTTACCATTTCCTATTTGTTACCCTTATTCTTTGTTTCTTTTTTTGTCTTGTACTCTTTTTCTGCCTTCTCTGGTTTTAATTGAGCATTTTATATGATTACATTTTCTTTCCGTTCTTTCCTCTTTCTTATAATATCAATTATACTTCTTTTTTCTTTTTTGGTTGCCCTAGAGTTTTCAGTGAACATTTACAACTAAGTCCACTTTAAATAATATTGTTCTAGTAAATGAAATCTCCCATAATCTCTCCTGAGCTTAGGAGACAAAGTCATTGTAGAGGAAAGGGACCTGCCTCAAACACACAGCCTACCCCCTACCCCCATTTGAGTCTGCAGGTGGTAGGAGGATAAAGAATTAAGCTCAAATCTTCCAAAGAGTGTAACTGAATCTCCCACAGTCTTTCATGGTTAAGGAGATAGAGACCTGTCAGGACCACATTTGAGAAACAGGGAAAAACTAGAAGCGGACAAACCAGGTATGGATTACTAAAACTGCAATCCACATTTGACCCAGCTCAATCTTCTGACTGGATTGATGTGATCAGCCCCTCACCCGAACTGACTAAAAGAGGAAGGGTGAAAATTCATGGAGCTATACACTTAATATTTGTCTATTTTAGTGGGAAAAAAGTATATAGAGTTTATGAATTTTATATATATAAAGTATATATTATATATAAAGTATATATTTATAATGAATTTTATAAATATATTGTTTGAGATCCTGTTATAAAAAATTTTTATATTTGAACTATGACCCTATATATGTATGTATGTGTGTATATATATGTATATATACTATATATATTTTGTATGTATAATTTATATATAGTATATATATTATTTTTATTCAGAAGAAAATTGTGCAAAACTAATGTTGTCCTTCAGGTTTTATCAACTGAACAATTTAGGATAAAATATATTTTCTTATCATCAGGAGACAAAGTTGAACTGTCTTCTGATAGAGGACCAACAATTTTTTCTCTACTTTCTATTTGATGCAGGGCACTAAAATTTAGAAGACCAATTATATACAATTCCTACAACATTTAAACATGGATTTTTGATTAATAAAAGCTAGTTAGGAAAGGTCATCAGGTGTCAAATTCAGATTGACCAGTCACAATTTTTTTCTCTGAATTTACCTGTAAGATAGAGTTTAATATGTATGTCATTCTTTGAGGATTTATTTAAACTTTTGCTTTATGACTAACAAATCACTTGGCTTTTATAATATATTGCATAGAAAGGAAACATAGTTTGGTATCGTTTTTCCAGTTATCATGTAAGATATTTTACTTATTGAATGTCCATAAGAAATTAAATCTTAAAATATTTTCTAATTTAAAATTATTTGAGATTTATTCTCTTGACCTATTTCATAAAAAACCAATATTCAGCAACTGTTTTAACGTGATACAGTGAGAATTAGTGAGCTGATATATACAGAATGTTGAAGAGTAATATATATTTAGTAATATATATTTTTTATAGGCAGAGCTTCTAGATGCTGCTGCTGGCATTCATGTACGATTCAGGCTAGGTGGTGTAAGTATGGATGAATTCTTATTTATTAGTTTTAAGCCATATTTATATGTAATTTAAAAGATATATTTTTTTAAATGTAAACCATTTTTATAATTAGATTACAAATGTCTTTTGAACTTTTCCATCTACAGGTTAAATTTCCACCTGAAATATATTATAAAATTTTCACTCACAGACATATTGAAGATCTATGTGCTAATAGCCCCAGAGATTACACAAAACTTCCAGTAAAACATACATCTCATATTAAAAGCAATAATCCTCAGGAAGAGGATCAAAGTGGCTGGTATCGTCGTACAGAGAACAATGGCTGGAGACCTGTTTCTGATAGAGTAAGAAAAGACAAATATTGCTAATTTTGAATTTTATATATTTAGAAACCCACTTGTCTTTTTGAAAATTAATTTTAAAAAACGTTTTTAAATAATAAATCTTAGCAATTTGGCTGATAATTGCTTAAGTTAACTACTCTGGGGTTACTAATTATACTTCAGGATACAGCAATATGTCTTTTTTTCCTTATATTTGCTTCTACTTTTAGTAATCAGCTTTGATCTAGGCCGTCTTTAGATGCTCTCTAGTATCAGCAATTTACCATCTTTATAACAAAGCAAATTTGAAGCTGTTGTTGACTCTACATTAATCCTTGGACTAGAGGTGGGAGGTCTTGAGAATAATAAGATATTTTCTTTTATATAGAGCTGGTAACAGCAAAGACTAATGGGAAATCATTTGGATTTTCATGGTGTTGGGGAATTTAACATGTACTCATATGAATTGACAGAATTATTTTTAAACATACATAGTTCTAATGCATATATGTGATTTGGGGACTTTTCTATGGACACCCATTGGTGTCCATTAATCTCCTTTTTGTGGAGATAATTTCTGCCTAAGCATATTTGTAAGTTATACTTTATAGGTTAACATGATCTCATTCTATAGCCCTAGATGTCTGTTTATAGACCTCAAGTGTCTTCCTTCAAATCCTCCATCTCTGGTATACAGATTGTAGATTGTGGGCTGTTGAATATACTAAATATGAAAGGTGAAAATGATCAAGGTGTGAATTCATTCATTCATTCATTCAGCAAACTTTATTGCATATCAACCATGTGTCAGGCACTGTACTATATGCTAGGGATACAGTGGTAAATAGGAAGAGTCCTTCCTCTCAAGTAGTTTGCCTTTTAATTAGGGAGACAGTCAAGTAAACAGGATATTTCAGTACAGTGCAATAAATATGTGCTTTAATTGGGGCAAATACAGAGTGTTGTGGGGGATAGCAAACTCTCCTCCTTGTTATTTAATGTGTATGTGGTGGGGGAGGAGGAATGAATTGGAAGCAGGAAAATAGGCAACCAGGTAGGATAAAATGTCATACAGGGGAAAGCATGAACTCTTGGGGCATAATGGTGAGAATTCCATGTTCTTGGAGGGTACCTATACTCCTTGAGGATTAGAGTCTTCAAAAGTCAAGAGTAGGTCAAGTCTGTTCTTAAAACACTCTTAGAATATGTCCGTTAATTTCTTCATTTATTATTCATTCATTATTAATAATTCATTCATAATTCATTCGTTATACATTATTAAGAATACTTATTAAGTATCTCAGTACACTAGTACTTTATCAGTCTTCCTGTGGTGTGTGCCTCTGAAGGTCACCCATCACTACTCACCCATAACTTAATTAGAAATGCCTTAAAAGGGTCTGTCCTCTCCTCTATTTCTATCGTGTCATATTCCTACTGAACACACAAAAGTTCCTGTCTATAGCCAGACAACTTCACAATCAGTATTTCAACATTTTGTGTATTCATTTTTCATTTCTCAATAGTTTTGGATGTCTACTGAACATGTAATGATGGGAGATGAAAAAGAAAGTGAATTCCATTTCTCTAAATTGAAGAGAAGGCAAGATATGGAAAAGAAAAGAAAAATTAGAAAAATAGAGTGGATGAGGCAAATGTAAGTTGATGAAATTCTTAGACTTACTAATGAAGTATCCAGTATTTTAAGTTTTTTAAAAAAATTGCTATCATTAATAAAATAACTACATGTTATTTTAAAAAGAAAATGTAAGATTACAGTTATATTTTTTAAAATACTGAGAAAGCAAACAAGAAAACATAAGTGCCTACTATGTGCCAAAACTGTTAGTCTCCAGGATATTACTGGGAAAAGACATGTTGTCTTTGACCCTGAGGAAATTACAATCTATTGGAACATCAGATATGAAAATAAGCATATACTCTTATATATCAGATAACTTTCATTTGGCCCTTTGGACCCATTCTATACCCTTCTCAACCCTTCTTTCTGCCCTAAGAGACTGACCTATGTGGATTACACTAAAAGTTATTCTGGACCTATCTAACGAATGTTAAAAGCAAGTCTGAAAAAATCGAATTGTTTCCAGGTTTACTTGACTGCATACCAGAAAAAAGCCCCAAAATATTTAAAGGAATATAAAAAACTCCAGTACCTAAAATCATATAAAATTCACAATGTATACTATATAGTAATCAATTACCAGGGATATAAAGAAACAGGAAAATAGATCTCATATGAAAAGGAAAATTAATAGCAACAGATCCACCAAAAATATCTTTTAAAAATGAAGATGAATGAAAAACTTTTCAGACAAACGAAAGCTAAGTTCTCTCATCATGAATGGACTACAAGAAATGTTAAAGAAATTCCTCAGGCAGAAGAAAAATGATTCTATGTAAAAATCTGGATCCATACAAGGAATGAAGAACACCGAAAATGGACTATTATAAGTAAATATAAAGGATGTTTCTTCTTACTATTTAAATATCTTCAAGAGGTAATTAAGTAACTACTAAACTGTACATTTAAAAATAGTTAAGATGGTAAAATTTTTTTTCCCTGCTTTTTCTCCCCAAATCCCCCCAGTACATAGTTGTATATTTTAGTTGTGGGTCCCTCTAGTTGTGGCACATGGAATGCCACCTCATTGTGGCCTGATGAGTGGTGCCATGTCCACATGATCCGAACCTGCGAAACCCTGGGCCACCGAAGCAGAGCACATGAACTTAACCATTTGGCCACAGGGCTGGCCCTGGTAAATTTTATGTTACATGTTTTTTACCACGATTTTTAAAAAGCTAGGTATTCAAATGTTTTATTCTAAAGGAATGAGTTAATATTGATATTGCCAATAAAGTTCTACTTAAATTCTTGATTCCACAATTGTACTCTTTTTCTCTTATGTTGAAAATCTTCATTTCAAACAAAATATAATTGCCTATTTTTTTCTGACATTACAAGTAAATAATTCCAAAAATAATAATATAATATCAACACATATGATTCAATTACTGAATAAAGCTCAAAAAAATTTTTTTTAAGGTGATCTACTATTTAAAGCAGAAACAATGACAGTGTGTCGTGGCATTTATAAAGTTATAATGGTGCAGAAGTAAGATGTATGATAATAATATCGCAAAGGTTGAGAGAGATGAAATGGAAGTATACTGCTGGAAGGTCCTTATACAACACGTGAAATATTGCTTAAAGGTAGGCCATGATAGTTAAAGATGTGTACTAAAAATCCCCAAACAACCATAATATCAACAATAAACATAACAAAACTGTAAACCTAATAAACTGATAATGGAGATAAAATAGAATCATAAAAACAATCAATCTAAGAGAAGGCTGAAAAAGAGGAAAGTAAACAAGGAAAGACAGGACAAATAGAAAACAAATAGCATTATGTAGATTAAAATCAACCATACCAATAATCATATCCAATGTAAATGGTCTAATCACCCCAAATAAAGGCAGAGATTGATAGACTGGATAAGAAGGCAAGACCCAACTGTATGGTGTCTACAAGAACTAACTTTAAAGGGAAAGCACAAATAGATTAAAAGTAAAAGCATGGGAGCCAGCCCCATGGCATAGTGGTTAAGCTTGGAGCACTCCACTTTGGCAGCCTGGGTTCATGGGCTTGGATCTCAGGTGCAGACCTACACCACTTGTCATCCATGCTGTGGCAGTGACCCACATACAAAACAGAGGAAGACTGGCACAGATGTTATCTCAGGGTGAATCCTCCTCAACAACAACAACAACAACAAATGTTTAAAAAAAACGTAAAAGCATGGAAAGAATCATGCTAACAGTAATCAAAACAAAGAGTGACTACATTAATATCAAAGTAGATTTCAGAGCAAAGTATATTTCCAGAGATAAAAGGGATCACTTAAAATAATAAGGGGTAAATTCATCAAGAGGACATAACAATCTTAAATGATTGTTTATGTAATAACAGAGTATCAAAATACATGAAACAAAAAGTTATAGTACTGAGAGGAGAAATAGACAAATCCAAAATTATAATCAGAGATTTCCAAAACCTTTTGTTAGTAATTGATATAACAAGTGGACAATAATTAATAAATATATGGAAGACTTGAGCAACAGTATCAACCAACTTGACATAATTAGCATTTACAGAGCACTGCACCCAACAACAGATAACACATTCTCTTCAAGTGCACATGAAACATTCACCAAGATACACTGTATTCTGGGCCATAAAACAAACATCCACAAATTTAAAAAAATTAAAATCATACAAAGGAAGTTCTGTGATCACAACAGAATTAAAAATAAATTTAAAACAGAATAGAATTAATAATAGAAAAATTTCTGGAAAACGTCCAAATATTTGGATACTAAATAGCATACCTCTAAATAACCCATGAGTCAAAGAAGTCGCAAGGGATATTTGAAAATATTTTTGATTTAATGAAAATGAAAATACAGCATATCAAATGTTGAGGATGCAGATAAAGCAGTACTTACAGGGAAATTTATAGCATTAAATGCTTTTATTAAAAAAGATCTCAAATCAATGATCTAAGCTTCCAACATAAGAACCAGTAAAAGAAGAGCAAAGCAATAGAAGGAAGGAAATAATAAAGATAGCAGAAATCAAGGCCATTACAAACAGAAACCCATCAGAGAAAATCAATGATCTCAAAACTTGTTTCCTTTGAAAAGAACAATACAATTTATAAGTCTCTAAATAAATTTACAAAGAACACATGCAAATCAGAAGCATCAGAAATGAAAACAAAGATATCACTACAGATCCTACAGATAAGATAGATATATATCATAATGCCTATACATTTGAAAAATTAGGTGAAATAGAAAATTTGTTGAAAGACATAAACCAAAGCTCACTCAAAAACCAAACAAAAAAGAAACATGAATAGTCTTATAGCTATTAAAGAAATTGAATTTGTAGTTTAAAAGAAATCCCGCAAAGAAAGCTCTAGGCCATATGAATTCCCTGGTGAATTCTAGCAGGCATTTAAGAAAGACATCATAAAAATTCTATACAAATATTTCCAGAAATAGGATAAGAAAAAAAGATATTATAAGAAAATAGCAATCAATATCTCGCATAAACATAGATATAGAATAATAAATACCATCAGAAACAAATGGAGTTTATCCCAGAAATAAAAGGTTGGCTTAACATTTAGAAATCAATCAATGCAATTCACCATATTAACTTAAAAAGAAAATTGTATATAATCATCTCAATAGATGCAGAAAATTACTTACAAATAATTCAACAACCATTCATAATAAAAACTCTTGGCAAACTAGGAATAGAAGAGAACCTCCTCAGCCTTATGAAGAGCTTCTGTGAAAAACCTACAGCTAACGTTATGCTTAATAGTGAAAGACAATGTTTTCTCTTTAAGATCAGGAACAAGGCAAGGATGTCTGCTCTCACCACTTCTTTACAGCATTGCACTGGAGGTCTTAGTGCAATAAGGCAAGAAAGCAGGGTGGGGAAAGACACTGAGATTGGAAAGGAAGAACTAAAACAGTCTTTCTTCACAATTGACATGATTGTCCAGGTACGAAATCCTAAGGAATCCATAAAAAAGTTACTGAAACTAATAAGTGAGTTTATCAAGGTTGTGAGATACAGAAACCAATTATATTGCCAGATTCTAACAACAAATAATTGGAAATTGAAGTTTTAAAAAATACCATTTACAGTAGCATCAGAAAATATGAAGTATCTAGGCATCAATTGAAGAAAAAATTTGCATGACCTGTACACTGAAAACTATTAAACATTACTGAGAAAACTTAAAACTTAAATGAAGAGATTAAGGTATTCATGGATCAGAAGACTCAATATTGTTAAGATGGAAATTGTATCCAAATTAATCTATACATTCTATGCAATCACAATCAAAAGTTCCAGCAGGTTTTTTTGTAGAAACCGACAAGTTGATTTGAATATTTATATGGAAATGCAAAAGAACTGGAATAGACAAAATAATTTTGGAAAAATAAAATTTAGAGAACTAACACTGCTTGATTTCGACTTATTATAAAGCTACTGTAATCAAGACATTGTGGTGTTGCATAAAGACAGACATATAGATCAATGGAACAGAATAGAAAGCTGAGAAATAGACCCACACATATATTGTTCATTGAGTTTTAATACAGGTACCAATGTAATTGGAAAAGTACATTCTTTTCAACAAATTGAATTCTCAAATGTGGAAAAATAAACCTAACGAAGGTGCTATATATATATAATTAACTCTAAAGAGATCATAGATCTAAATCTAAGAACTAAAACCCTTAAATACATAAAAGTAAGCAAAAGAGGGAATCTTAGTAACCTTGGTTCTGGCAAAGATTTCTTAAATACGACACATAAGGCATGAAATACAAGAGAAAAAATTGTTAAATTGCACTTCATCACTGTTACAAAAACAAAAAAGCAAGCCACAGACAGGAGAAAACATTTGCAATATATGTATATATGATAAAAAAAAAAGTCTTGTATCTAGAATATGTAAAAAAAAAAAAAAAAACCTCTCAAAACTCAACATGAAGACAACCTAACTTAAAAATGGGCAAAAAATTTGAACACTCTACCAATGAAGACA